ACTGGGGGGGAACTGGGCCCTTACTGGGGGGGAACTGGGGCCTGACTGGGGCTGAACTGGGAGGCTGGTCCAGGGGCAGAGCTGGTCCTGGGGGGGCGTCCAGCTTCTCCCCCCCCCGGGGACCCCAAACCAGTGAGACCAGTAGGAGAAGGGGGAACCCCCAAACTGGTCCCAGTTGAGGTTTTACCCCGAGAGAGGGGAAAATAACCCCAAACCCAACCTTTTTGGGTTCCGGGACAGGGTTTTTCCCTGCTGTAAACTTGCTGATTCTATATATTTCTATTTTTTGGGGGATTTTAACGTTCCTTTTCCTCCCCCCGCAGCCTGGAGAGCTGGATGTTCTGCAAACCCGAGGGGGGGTTCGCGGAGCTGGAGAAGAAACTCAAGAGCTTCTCCCAAAAAAGCGCCGTCCTCAAGGAGGTTTTGCTGGAGTTTAAGGGTAAGGAACGGGGAAAAAAAGAGAATTTCTTCAAAATTGGGGATTTTGGTCAAAGAGAAAACTCGGTTTCAAAGACGGCGCCGTTTGGAAAAAAATGGGGATTATTTGAGATTTGAGCTCAAGCTCATCACGAGATTAAATTAAAAAAAATACCAATTTGCTGAAAAAAAAAATTAGAAAATCAAATTCTCTTGCTGGCAATTTGTTGAATTTTAGGTGAAAACTTTGAAATTTCTGTGTTGTTTTCTCTCCCCTCAGAGAATCTTCGGTTCGAGCTGGAGAACGACACGGGTGAGAACCCCCCGCTTTGGGGAACAACCTGCAATTTTAAAATTCAGTTGAAAACTTGCAGTTTATTTGGGGGTTATTTTGGGGGTAAAACCTTCGATTTGGGGCTGTAAGGGCAGGAGGGGGGGAAACTGTTGCTGAGGGAGGGGGAAAAGGCCAGAAAAAGGGGCATTTTATTTTTTTGAGGAACTTTTTAAGGGAGGAATTAAGATTTTAATTAGTTCAATTAGGATCAATTTTTTAATGGAAGTGGAGCCTGATCTTTGATTTTTCTGGGGTTTTTTTGGCGCTTTTTTGCCGCCTTTTAATTTTTTGGCTTTTTATTTTGCTTTTTATTTGGATTTTTTTAAAAATAATTTTTTTGGGGCGGGTTTTTTGGATTCTTTTTATTTGGGGGGTTGGATTCTTTATTTTGGGGGGG